GAGAAGGACCCGGAAGTTCTGAGGAGTGGAAGAGCCGTTTCAACTGTACTTATTGATTACTATTGAAACTATCCTCCATCTCAAAAAAATAAAAATAAAAATAGAAATTGTGGGGTGCCGACCAGCTGACTGGTCGGGTGGTCGGCAGCCGACCAATCAAGGGGTGCCGACCGTCGGCCTGTGCAACTCTGCGTAGCCAGCTGCCACCTCCTGTGCCGCAGCTCTCTCCACTGAGGGATGCTTCCTGGCTTCATTTCAATCATCCCAGCACAAAAGACAGTCTCCTGTTTCCAAGACTTTCCAATCTAGGAGCCGTGTTCTCTCAAACTGCCCTGTCTACTGTGTTTGCACTGTCTTTCCTGAGGGTTACCTCCTGGAGTTATGCCGATCATCCCAGTCTCCATAGGTTCCTATACTTTGGATTCCTCTGTCAATTGTGTCTCTCGTGTATCTGTTCCCGTCATATTTCATTCTCAATTATGTCCTTTGATGCGGTGCCAAGTGCATTTGCTCCCTCCGCAGAGAGAGCCTCCCAATCGTGTCATGCACAAGTAGAAGAATGCAGAGCTCGCACTTGTTGCTCGCCACTCCAACCAGGTGCACCAGCTAGCATACTGCCTAGCCCTATGACGGGATAGGGCCAATAGGCAAGCTCTCCCTGCCCAAGGGCCTGTCACCACCCTTGGGGAATGTATCCCACCCGAGGTACCGATACAGATGCCACAGGAGAGGTACATCGGCCAAGGGTGTCCGCTCGTGTGTCGAAGTAGTACACAGTGCATAACACCTTCTCGTAACGAAGGTCACGGGGTGCGGATCTCCCGTGCCTTAGAGGCGAACAGCAAACTGGGGTGTTTAGCTCCCTACGCTCCCTATTTCTTATACTCTCGGAGGTGAGAGACGCGCACTCCCATTCAAATTTCCCCAATTTTCATACATCACACCCATAGACCCACATAGCACCAAAGGTTGTGCCAGGTGGCGCGGGGGGTTGGGGGGGAGGTGTGGTATGCCGGCACGTTTCTGTTGCTTGCACTGCTAATGTTTCTTCTATTTTCATTTCCTCTTTCTCCCTTCCTTACATGTTTGACTTGCCTTTCTACATTGGAAGTTCATTAAAGAAACGGAAAGTAAAAGACCAAAAGAAATCTTGTTTGGCCAGTGGCCATGTTGATGAATGTCCACTGTTGTCTGAACACAATGTGACATATCAATCACCGTATGTTCATACATACCCAGGGCGAGATAACACTGGACATAACTAGACAAGAAGAGAAAGTACACATCAGCATCGTTGTAGAACGAGAGCATCATTTAAACTTCGGCTAGGCTTAGGTTTATGCTCTCAAATGCAACCAAGTTCGACACAAAAAATGGCCGCGTGCTCAGTTGGTAAACCCAGGAACTGATGAAATAAGGACATTAGTTCGAATTCAAATGGAAACAAATAAGTGAGAATAACTCTGAATTTCACCGGGACCGGTCAGCTCAAAGATAACATCTCAAGGCCATCGCCCTTCATTAAACCACCACTACCTTTCCCACATGTCAGCCGCGGGCATCTAGTAACCTACTCCTGAAAAATAGCCGCCACGCCGCGGTCTATATTTTCATCGACGGCGCATGGCAGCCGAATTACAATTTGAGGTCCACGGCCCCACATATGAGAAAGGTAGTGGTGGTTCAAAAACAAAAAAAAAGGGGCGAGGCAGCACACTAAACTTGCCTTATTCAGAAGCCCTATGAAGACAACGATGAGTCCAGTGGGACCCAGAAGGGTGAGGGGTTGTCCAGCAAAGATAGCATACGCAATTCCTGAGGCTGCATAACACAGATGAAGAATGCACGCACATCCGCAACAAACAACAGCAACAACAAGGAGAAATTCCAAAATGACACCATGGTTAAGCACTCGCAAACCCAACATGCCACCATGCTTAGTTACTCATGAACTAAGGAGTTTTGCTTTCAGCCTCACGCTTTATTTTCACTACATAGTACATATTCTTCTCAGGCCGTAATCAGTAAAACAGTACTAAGACCACACAACACAGTTTCTTACACCTTCTACTTCAGACTTCTTGGAACTTTAATAGTACATTCATAGTAACTTCATACAGTTTCCCATAGGGTACTGTACTTGTCAAACTCAGTACATATGAAATCACTGTACGGAACCACTCATAAATTTACTATCTATTACTTTTCTGAGTCACAATTTGCTGTGTGTACTTGTAACTCTGCATAGACAACGTAGAATCACAATACCAAAGAATGGTCCTTGGTTACTCACCAAATATGAGAAATGGTGAGTGTATTATATCAGTTTTTAACGGAGGGACACACACACTAATTCTCATTTGGCCCCACCACAACTACTGCCATCCAGGCAAATAAGCCTGAAACCAAGAAATGGTAATACCCCTCCACCGAAACTTGAAACATGAACAAGAAGGTCGCAATTTTGATGCGCAGTCTGCCGGCACCCAGCCCAGTAGGTCCTTGATGGGACAAGTTTCAGAGTGCAGCTATGGGCACTTGGGTTGAAACCATCGGTAACTCCTGATGATCCGCCTGGGCAACAGCGAACTTCGTGGAGCCTCACACAATAAAATTCTCATATGCATGCATGCATTATGCGCATGAAAATCACGCATTCAAAAGTGTGCAAACATACACTGACGTGTGGGGAACAGAGCCCTTGGCAGTTACCAAAGGGCCCCACTAACAAGCTAAGTGCCCGCCCTAAGTGAAGGCGGGCCTGCATTTTTGGCCATTTTGGGGCAGCGGACAGTTTAGGGGACCCAGTTGGTTACAGAGCCCCCGTGTGACGACGCCCTGAGTCAAGGCCGTGCAGCCTCCTGGTGTGCGACATCGCACACTGGCTCTATGCCAATCATGAGGCTCTGAACAGCAGAGGCCACGTCGAATGGTTGGAGTGGCCTGACTGCTTTGGTCCCAGGGCAGTATCTGAATTGGGCATGGGCGCAGACACATTAGCCCGGTGTGAGGCTACTGAGAACCTTGGCCTCCAGGCCAGGCCGCCCAGACAGGCAAGCATTTTCCAGAAAGGAAAGTGCCCGCCAGCCACTGGCCGTGCATGAGCATGTGGCAGCGCTGCTGGATAAGCACTAGGCAGGCCGCTGCGACTAACGGTTGGGCCGCACATCGGCCGCGGCTCGCCGCTGGGGTGCACACGAGCGCAGTTGGTGGGCGCTGCACCTGAGCTCAGTGATATCCGGGCTGGAGCTCGTTGTTGTCAGCGGGGTATGGTCGTGGTCCTTGGGAGGGGACGTACCTGGTTGTGCCGTGGTAGTCTGCATGGACAGCATCTTCACATACAAGTGTCCTGCTGCTGTTGTTTCCTGTTGCATCGTCATGGTAGGGTAGGCTAGATTAGAAGCTGTGTGATTGTAGTCTAGGCGCTGGGCGCCAATTGGAGAAGAAACATTGGATACATTGTTGATGGTGGCGAGAAGGGGCTGACATTGACAAATGAGTTCATTGCTTTGGCCTCCATTGTGTGCTTTCTGCTTTCTGGACAGCGTCCGACAATCTGGTTGTCAATGTGATGTTGCAATTTGGATTTCTATCATTTCACTCTTGCTCAATTTCCTTGCAATGTGGTATAGGAGCTGGTTCGACCCGCTCTGCTGGCACCAGCGCATGAGTTATTTGGTGCTGTGCATGGCTTCGCAGGGAAGTGGAGATGCTTTTCCGCTCGATTTGTAGGCGGGCCAGGGTTGACTGGGCATGCCAGGAAGGCTATGTGGCTACATATTGGGTATATGTCGTGTGATGAGAGCATGCTGATGTGGCATAATTGCTGAGGTGGCACTGCATAGCAACATTGGGGTGCCGGACAACATTGCATGCTTGCACGCACGAGGGAGAAATCAAGAGAGCACAAAAATGAAAACTGATCAAAGATGCGTCATATGAACTGCAGGAACAGAAGAAGGGCAGCGGCTAAGTTCCAAAGTGCAGAATCGCGCACGCAAATTCAAACAAAATTCAAGGATCCAACACGTGCTTGCAAATGCATGAAGCAAAAAGAAGCATGCAGAAATCCTACCTACCTTCTTCCCCAAATACAACGTACGGTCATTATAGCTGTATTTAGACTGAAAGATACCCCCAATACAGCTATAATTACCGTACGTTGTATTCAGGAGAAGCAGGTAGCCTGCAACACTAGAAATATGAAATTAAAACAAGTCTGAAGACTCTGAAGTGATGGAAGCCCCATCGTCAGATACAACTAATATACACCCCTGTAGAAGACAGAAATTGAAGGAGCTCAGAAGATAGTGCATCCAGAGAAAGAGTGCATCACAGTGGGTCCTGGGGATTGGTGGATAGGTTGGGCTATAGATTACATCACAGAGTACATGTGTTCGTAGACTAGATAGACTTCAGTTTACATGTGTCTGTAGTCCAAATGAGCCTACCGACTACATACAGAGGCCAGGTACAGATTCTACATTCGTATCCAGGTTGTGTATGTCTGCAGCCTAGACGGCCTGTAAACTACACTTTGTAGCTTGGATCGCCTGTAGACTACACTAGAGTTGAGCGCTAACGGAATGACAATAACAACAACGAGTTGTACTAGGGTTGCTCGCAGACTTCCATAGGTTACCGTTATACCTTTACCTAGGCCATTACACACTGCCTGTGGTAGCTCAAGGAGAGCATTAGATATACAAATAGAGATTTTGGAGGGTATACTAAGGTTGCTCAGGGGGTATCATAGGTTAGACCTTGGCATAGGGCATTACACACTGCCTGTGGAAGCTCAAGGAGAACGTTCAGATATACATGGTAGAGGTGTGACTGTCCTGAGCGGTAGACACTGAGGTAGGACTGAGGGAGTTGGGGGTGCCCCAGGGAGCACTGGCAAAAGGGGGGTGGGTGGAGTCTTGTGAGGGCGAAGACCCAATCGTATGGAGAAAAAGGAAAAACAGGAAGAACTCTGGGCTTGCTTTTCGCAACCAGAAAAAATGACCTGTGTGAGGGCCTCCTATACTAGTGAGAGGGGCTCAGAAGGAATGTGGATGGGAGGGCAGCCTTCAAGGGGGTTCACTGTATGACAGCAGCATGGTGGACCCCAACTATTATAGTAAAAAATAGGGGTAGAAGATTGTTGATGAGTCCTCTTGGTTCAGATGGCAAGTGATCCCCTTGTTATGGGGCAATCAATGCTGCTCATCATCATTTACATTTTACAACCTGACCCATTTTTTTGTAAATGGAACGCTAGACCCTGTTTCCAGCCGGTGCAGCTCCCGGCCAATATGTTGGACCCATCCACAAACAGGGGGTTAAATATTGCAGGATGCTCTCATCACCTCCAATATTAGCTCTCCCTCAGGGAATAAAAGAAACTTGAGCTGCGTATGACTTGCAGTGGAAAGGAACCAGACTGACCCTGAGGTTGATTTCTTTCTCAGAAGGGAATCGCTCTTTTTTTTTTTTTTTTAACTACACCACCAATTCAGCCAAAGCCTATAATTGGAGGATGCTCTTCCCACGTCCAATATCAAGTCTCCCACGGATGATTTCAAGCACAACAAAAAAAAAGGGTAACTAGGGCGCGGTCAGTTCAGGCATCCCTCGAATACAACACTTCCCCACCTGACCCTAAAGCTTAGGTTGAATACATTCAACATTTTCCGCGCTTTGGCACAACATTCACGAAATTGTGACTGAAGTGCATTTACAAACAAAAACCATGACTGTGCCCTAGTTTTCCCAAAAACAAACTCGAGCTGTCTACGACTTACCTGGAAAGGAACCGGACTGACTAATCTCAAAACAAACTGCACTTTTTTTTTTTAATTACACCAGCAGTTCAGCAAAAGCTAAGTTCACCGGTGCACGCGGTAAGAGACTTCAGCTTCGGTCTCATAAACCCAAGAGGGGTACCCAGGGGGTGTGCGAAATTTTAAGTATCCTGAATCTCGAGACTTTTAATTCTTATCTCCAACGGCAAAAAAAACAAAAGTTTCAGGAATGTTGCTCAGGTTATTCCGCATCAGGGGGGGGAAGGGATTTGAAAAACAAAAAATAAAGGTTTGGCCCAGGAAAATTATTTGTGCCGCACCTCGGCTACCGAAGTGGTCCGAGGCTAGTTGCCCAGCCAGGCAAAAATATTTGCCGGGCAGCTCTGTTTAACGATATATACCACGGAGTTTTTTTTGGCGCCAGGCCCACAGTTAGCGCTTATTTTTGCGCTAGCAGACACGCACTTCCGCCCTAGAGCCCTCAGCAGCCAGTCGAGCGCGGGGTTCCCTCGTGCGGGACACGGCAAAGCCACCTTCCCAATTTTGAAAATTTGGCGGGAATGAGAACAGAAGCGCCGCGCCTTCGGGCAGAGCGAGGTGGAGAGCAAGAGCAGCCATAGCTCGCCTCATCATCACCGGCGACAAAAGTGAACAGAATCAAGGCAGCCACCTATTTCGGGCAAAAACGAGCAAGGGAGGCACAACGCCAGTACGATCGGGAAGAAGTTCCACAAAAGGACCACGTCTCGAATACCCTATCACAGGGGACAAAAAGACTAAAAAGACCAAGTTCACAACAGCAACGAAAGTGCTGGGACGGGCAAGAGGGAGGGTGAAGGAAAGCACAAAAAGACATCAAGTTCACGACAGCAACGGAAGCGCTGAGACGGGCAAGAGGCAGGGTGAAGGAAGGCGACTTCAACGGAAATAGAGCCGCGCCCGTGTCCCTTTCCTTTTTCACGGAAAGGACATCGAGCGACAATGGCGAAGAGGAAAAGGAGTAGAGGGGGAGAGAGAGTGAAGGAAAGGACAAGG